AGGAATTATAAAAGGAATTAAGAATAAGAATCTTTTAAATAAGCTGATAACACAGTTGCTGTAAGGACATGCATATAAGCTGCATAAAATGTAATGAAATATTGGAGAAGCAAGTCTGAAGAGCACCTAACTTTCCCCCTGTATTCTAAAGAGCCCCTAAGTTTTCTTTTTCACAAAGCAGTCCTCTACTTTCAATTCCAGTTTCTCATTACCGCATGGACATCTTTAGACGTTTAAAACATGGGTATTTTGGTCTTTATTTTAATTTTTTAGCATTGAGCTTCAATTCCAGCATAAGCTTTGATCAGTTACTTGGTTTACTTGACACTGTTGTTGGGGATAAATGTTCCCTGTAACTATCCCACCTTACAAGACAGAGAACAATCAGAAAAAGACTAAAATTGAAGTATTGGTAAATATAGTCGTATAGAGGTTAGGAGAGAATTGTTCATACAAAAACGCAATGCGCACATGACGCTCAACTCCCATTTCCCACAACCATAACAAAATTATAAGATCCATGTTTCTCTGTGTGAGAACTTAAACACATTTCAATATACAAGATCAAAGTTTGCCAAGAAGCACGAGAACTCAATTAACCAAGAAGCAAAAACCCTAATTTGGAGGGGGAAAAGCCTTAAATTTCAAATTGAGCTTCTTTGAGACATTTACCCTTGACTGTGTTAAAGAAAACAGCTTACTTTTAACTAAGGCACTAATGAAAAAACGGAATTGAAAGTTGAGGGCAGCTTGTAGAAAATAAAAACTTAAGGCCTTCTTAGAACAGATGAGAAAATGTTAGGGGCTCTATAGACTTACCTCTCTGAAATATTGCACACACTAGGAACCATGACGAGCATAATTTAACTCCTTCACTCTCCAATACACACAACAACAAGCACACACAGGCACTTGCTCATATAAATCTTTGGAAGAGAAGCAAACAACTGTTACATATCACATCTGCATATGGGAAAGAAGTTGATGTCCCAAGAAGTTGTGATATGCTGCTAACTTCGCTAAACGAAAAGATGGAATCCAATGCTCCTGAACATGATTCTGAATGTACAAACAATTATTAACCTTTAAAAATGTAAAGAGGGCGTGTTATGTCCTCTTTTCTTATACAAGCTAATCATTTTATAAATCATTGTGCTAAAACTAGGTTCTTTTGAATAAATAAAAAACAAGTGACCAACCAATGTTTACACTTATATGCAGGGGTGGACCTACATACGGTCCAAGAAGGCCTTGGCCCGCCCTTGAAGATTGAAAAAAAAATCAGCTGCATAGGTGGGTTTTGGGTTTAGAAGCTGAAGGCTGAGGAAGAACTTTAACAATTCATATTAGTCCCTCAAATCACTGAAATTGTTTATTAGGCCCTCAAATGCATATTAGGTCTTACAAATTGGTCCCTCTAGTTATCTCACATTAGATCTGAGGGGCATATTCTCTCAAATCTAATGTCTTGAGGAGATGTTCCAATTTTACCTCTTGTTAAGGTTTTCAACTCATTTCTTAACTGCTATAAACCTTTAAAATAAAATTTATGACCATTAAACTTATATTCTCCAACAATTAGAAAATGATTCCAACCAATTTGTGAGTTTCCCAAAGATTGTATTCCCCCAAAATCTATATAATCTTAAAAAATTAAGGGACTAATATGGAATTACCGAAGAGGGACCAGTACTAAAAAATCTAGAAACAAGAATTTAAGCAAGATAGCAATTCTCTTGCTAATTTTTTCTCAATAGTTTCATAAACTGTGTTCATGCCTGAACCTATGAAAGTCACATCTCCTTATATTGTGTTGTAAACCTATCTCTAATACAACTCATAATTTAAAACTAGAATTTAAAATTCAAATCATGATCTAAACCTACTACAATTGAAAATCCAAAATAACTCTATCCTAAAGAATGTGGATAACTCAATCTAATGAAATATCATATCTAAATCCTAAAAGATAAAGTCGACTAACGTTCCCTCTCTCCTGCCCTGCTTTAATATGTTGTACTTATTTACTTTTTGCGCCTCCCTCCCCCTCTTCAATATTTCATGGCTCCGCCATTGCTTACATGGGTCCTATATGCTTAAACTAAGAAGAAATATACATAAATAGTTGTCTCCTCGTATCTGGATTTGGACCATTGCGATGTCTGCAGATCATATCTAAGAAGCAAGCAACTTTGTAATGTTCATTAAATGCATAGTGTTCCATTGAGATGAATAATCCTATATGTGCATTTGATAGGAATATGGTAAAATATCTATGATATATAAATTATAAAGATGATTTTGCCAATCATTTTAAGGGCATTTTATGCATGTTACAATGGTACATAAAACACATTATACCAAAATTATAGGTCTGTCTTATACTGTCGTGTGATCGCTAGAACTCCTAATACCTGAGCTTTAAACCCTCAAAATGCTTCTAGATGTCTCTAAGGCAGTGTTTAGCAACACCTCCACTAACCACGTAAGTGGAGCTAACCTGGATAAGGCTTTGTTTTTTGTTTGGCTAAAATAGGGCCAACCCTAGACCAAGTATTGTTCAGTGTTGCCAATGCGCGACGCGCGAGGCGCAATGCGGGGCGCAAAGTATCTTTATGCGCACATGCGCAAGGCGCAACGTAATGCAGGCGGCCTAGTAATGCGAGGCGCACATAGAACACATAATTTTTCAAGATAGATAATCAAACAAGAAAGAACATGTTTAGGAATTCACATAAAAAATATGTCGGGATAAACAATATCTTACTACAAAATCATAATATAAAGTCTTAATTTCTAATGCTAACACCCAACATAGTAGCAAAGTTCTTAATTTTTCAAAGGATTAGTTATGGTCCTTAATTGAAGGCTACTAAAAAGGCCTAATGGATTTATTTTACTTTTTGGGATATGGATTATCAAGTATAAAGACTCGATTGAAATGTTAACAAACAAAAATATATGAGGATATGTACTACATGCACCCTGCGCAAAGTTAGGATGTGCGCAAGGCGCAAAAGGCGCTACTGCATCATATGTGGGGCGCTTTGCCACAGCCCCACATCGCAAGGTGCATGAGGCACAGTGCGGGGCGCACCTTTTAAAACATTGGGTTTTTTAGTTCATTGTTTGGCATTTATTCAAGTTAAAGTTAATTCACCACCTGTCTGGCTCAAAACTATCATGGTTAAGGCTTTATCAGGTTAGTGAACAGTTGTCAAACACAGCCTAAGGTATGCAAATCATGTGATACAAAGCAAACCTAAATTGGTCCTTTCTTCTACTTACCTTTTTCTCAAGTTGTTAAAAGTGACCCCGAACATTAACACAAAGCTGCCTGTGAAGAAATCTATCAATGTTCTAGAGGGAGCTGAAATACTTCGATGGAGCCATCAAGGATCTAGTAATATCCTTTATGATGCTTTTGAACACTTGATACACAACCAGAAGGTATCCAGACAGCATGTTTTTTCATCCATTACGTTCTACTTTTACTATAAAGATCATGAAGCAACGAAAATGAAAGCTGGACAGCTTGGACATGGGAATTATATTCACCCAAAGAAAGAATTGCCTCTTCTTTCCCTTGTACGTGTGTTTCCAAGAGTGAAAACACTTAGGCCATGAATATCATGATGAACAATATAGATCATTCATGATAGAAAAACATGTACAATTTTGGCAGCTACCTTGTGCAGAATTGCAGGCCAATTACTATAAACTTATATGGCAAAACTTAATAGAGCAGAAAACTTCCAATCAATAGCATCCTAACACCACTGTGCTCAATGAAACAAAGTGTACAAAGTGACATGCAAAGAGCATGCACCACACTTGTCTCTCATCACCTAGCAGAGATAACCACACTCCACACACCCTACGAAACACCCACCCACGTGTGCTCTCTTTCGCGCATGGACTTTAATTATACAAGGCACATAACAGAGCTTTGAGAAGAATGAAAAATCACTCCTAACAAAGACTAATGAAGTCAGTGTCACCTGTCATCGCTGCCAACTATACCCTTGCATTCAACTGGAGCAGCTAGTTTGACAACATTGCCCGAACCATCTAAAACAGTGTGTTCCTTCAAATGGAGACGTTTAGCAGCCTCTAATACCTATAACATGAAAAACAAAATAAGAATTGCTGTGTGCAAAGAAAACATGAAATATAGTATCTACATTCTATAAACAATAATGATTGCAGGAAAATTATGCACCAAAAAACATCCGATTATGGATGCCATAATGAAATATAGCATGGAATTACTAGAAAAAGTAACAATGCATTGACTAAGCAGGGAAGACCGACAATGCTGATTTTGCCCAAAACCTCAATGGTTTAACTACCATCTCTCAATTTCAATAGATCTTTCTCCTTAATTGTAATTATTTCTTCCACCGCATGTTATTACCCATAAAAAATGGCAGGCAACTAACAACATTTCTGAATAGAAACTGAACATTGACAGTGGGCAACTCATAATAGCAGACATTAAACAAGCATCACACCTTAGAATGGAAGGATTCGCTCCAACAAATTTTCTTTCCATTGTCAACAGAACCATATAGAAGGGAGTCTGATTTATCACCTTGAAGGATGCCAGGTATAATGCTCTGCAGGGGAAAAAAATGAAGTAGAAGTAGAATAAAAAAAGCAAACAAAATTAGAATTGGTTGGGACCAGAGAATCGACCCACTGCTAGAGATAACATTAGAACACTCAGCCCTAATTTAAAGAATTGAATAACATTAGAAGATAGTTTTAATGTCAAACCTGTGCTACTACTCTATGACCTCGGTAATCCACAATTGCCATGGCAAGATTGTAAAGTCCAGGAACATCGGCTTCTTGGTAAGCTCTTGTTCCTTTTAAATCATTATTAGCAGAAGCATATGTAGCCTGCTCGCTGTCTGCAAGTTGTGCTTCAGTAGCAGCAGAATCATCAGCAGCACAACTCTCAACTTCTGCTTTTGAGCTGTCGTAAGTACAAGCATTAGTTTCACCATTGGTTTCACATCCGGACCCATGATCTGAATTACTAGAGGCCTTCGCAGCTGAATTAGGCAAAGGTGTTGTACTTCCTTGCAGAACTGTGACTTTCAAATCAGTGCTCGTTTGTCCTTTAGATATCAGGCCAAGGTCGGCATCCACAGCAAAGCTGAAGAATATGTTGTTGTGAACATACCTGATGCAGAACAAGTAAATTAGAAAAGCATAACATTTTCCAATTTCAACTTGATAATTGTAAACGGCAATGCACATGCCCATATATTACTGTATGCTAGAAAAGGAAGAACTAGAACATGGTAGAGTATATTATTAGCAAAGGACAAACATGTTCACTGGGCAGAAAATGCTCGACAAATACAATAAGGGAAGCTGATATAGCTCAGTGATGAAACCTTAGTATCTACTCAAGAACGGGCCACACTGTCATCCAGCTGCATTCAAATGAAAGGCTAAAGAAGTACTAAAGGAAGACAGAAATATTAAAACTATTGGTAACGTTAATGTTCAAAATTGCAAATACTAACTGGACAAAGGTCAAAAATTCTAATTGTGATAGGTACAAGAAATGATGCAATTAATGTATTCTCTAATGAACTGCTCTAAAAGAAAGAAACCTCTACATTCCAGTTGCAAAGAAAACTAGAGCATATAAAGACAAATTATGTAGATTTTCTAACGTATGAAACTCCATAAAAAGTGACTGCTAGGCATACTCACATATGGAAACACTCTGGATCTGTTGGATTAATTGGAGGAATGCATCTGTTTATAACCCCAATGGCACCCTTAGATGCCGCATCAACAAAATCACAACTCACCTTATAAAGAGCACGATCACGCAAGATCCTGAAAGATGAAAACAAATTAATGGACAATAATTGCCGATTAGCTGTGCACACACTTCTAAATGAAATTAATTAACTGCCAAAAAAATAGACCCTAAACACAATCAACAAGCATAAAACATGAGTAAAAGAAATGACATGTCATATAATACACCTTTCCTGAAGAGTTGTATGAGGAAACTCTCGACAAGACTGTAATTCCTCGTTCCAGTCTCTCTGCATGCCAATGAGTTCATTTCCATAAGAAAGAGCAAGTGCATCCTCTGCTCTGGCTGCGTCTCGCTTATGATCTGCAGATGATCGTAATAATGCAGTTTACACAAGGATGTATAGGGAAATATTTAAACATAGGGTAAAATTAAAAAATTTAAAAGTGCACATCAAATCCCATCTAGAAATTCTGACTAAAAAAATCAGGAAACTAATTGCCAAAATCATTTATTATTCATACGGGATCTGTTAATGAAGGACATCAGCTAAATCACATTAAAAGAAGCATCTTAGATCAAGTTACCAGAAAGTTGGAGGATAATAAGTTTATATAGTGGTGATAAGACAATCATACAATTCAATACTGCTCTCAAGACTGCATTTGCAGGTCCTTATTTTGAGTGTGGCTGCTCTTCCAGGTGCTTGTGATGACTAAGGTGAAGTTCTAAGGAGCTCGACCAAAGCAAGATAGAGAGAAACCTGGCACCTAAGCTGGACCCTTAGAAAACTTACAGCATATTTTTAAGAATTTATCGTGCATGATATGCCCGATTATTTGCTAAGAGAAATCGTGGGCGTCGACGTAGAGCTTCTCATAGAAACAAAACAAAATGTATCACCTACTTACTACAAATTCAACCTAAAATTTAGTGTGGGCTACACAGGATCAACCAGCATAGCAGCACAGAGTATGCCAGAAACCCCTGCATCAGGAAGTACCTCTGAGAATGACTTGTATGTGTCAGACTCAGTTAAGAGTGATGATAGGATCATACTTAATTGAATAACGAGAAAATGGTTGTGGAGCAATTAAAGAGGTCATACGATGTAGGGCAAATCCCACTAGCATGCGTGCATTTCAAAAATTTTGTGGATATGATGCAATTACGCACTTCTAAAGGACAGATTTAGTCAGTCGGAGACAATTGAATGTTAATTCATGCTTAAGCTAGCACACTTGACATTAACATCACAGGATTAAGACTAAGTGATGGTTTTTGTGGGATACAAATAACTGAATAAGCAAGATTCGAAAAAATAGTCTTGGCTATCATTATACACAGATCACATGCAAGTGCAGTTTATATTCAAGCAATTAGGACTAATGAGGTTTTTCATATTAGAAATGTGATATAATTTCAGGCTTGAATAAAGGGCTCGTGATTAGGTGGTTAGACGTTGCTCCTATTGAGGATAAAGGGTGATAATTGATTGAGGTGGTTTGGCCATGTTCAATTAGGCCTTTAAACGCACCAACTTGAAGAAGTGATAAAATTATAATTAGTGGAGAAATGAGGACAAGAAGAAGGCTAAGAGAACTTGATTAGAAGCAATTACGAAGGACATGGCAAGATTCTCCAACCACATTAACTTAGGAGGAACTGTGATAAGGAATAAAAGGGTGATGCATAGCAACAATGAAAAGGGCATTGTAGAAAACCTTTTTCCATCACTTTAGCAACAGATGCTTGAGGATGAAAGCATATGGTTCTGAAAATGAATTTTTTTAGCATCTATATCAAAATTGCAGTTTCTTGCTTACCTGGGACAGGATATATACCCAACCACAAATTCGGTGGCAACAAAGATTGAACATTTTCAAAAGGGTGAGCAGAAGCTTTCCGTTCCAAGATTTCACGAAAACCTTCAAAATGTTTATCCAAAGTGTCAGACGCTGCTAATAACCAACTAGGTACAATATTTCTTTCCATCAGTAAATACTCCTGAATTTTTCCTTACCTTTTTTGAACTTCATGCTGATCTTTTGGAGTAGACCAATAAGGGTGGTTGCCTCAAAAGCAGACTTAAGAGGTTTGGGGTTAAAAACTCCTGTGCTTGAGTTCACATAAAAACCTTTGGTCGTTCCGGTGATGCAATATTTGTTTCCTTCCAAGGTTGCAGCATCCAGATAAATTAAATCTCCAACAAGCCTGAAAACGGATCAGGAAAAAGATAAGGTTTTGCAGCATATCGAAGATCATGATCATATATAAATGAAGATGGGAGCCGGACAAAGGAGTCCGTATGCCTTCAATCTGCAGACCAACTGCCTTAGTTGTATTGTAATAGTAATCATAGTATTTATCTCCAGTACGGTTGTTCAAGAAGATGTTGACCAATATTAAATGCAAGCACACATAAGCATGGAAACACTATATGAAGAGGATAAACATATCATTTTGTCATAATGAGCAGTAGAAAGGCAGTGTGTTTTGCCAGATTGTGCTCAGAAGAGCTAACAATGCAGGTCAAGTTCTGACATATTCAACAGACCAGAATCTGTATGAAATACAGCTGATGTTGGAATAAGTTTCAACGAAAGAAGAGCATCATACAAAGTAGTTACCTCCTATAACTTGGAGGAGGATTAAATGAAGAGAATGTAATGCTCTCCACACAGTAGATGTCCTTAGGTGATGATGCAATCAAATTGCAAAGAGAACCAGTTATATCTTCCATAAAACCCAAAACTTCAGGCTCCGAAGTTTCCACTTTTGCATCTGCGAGACAAGGACAAGTGCAATAAACATATTAACGTCTAAGTGAAAAGGCTTTCTGCTTAAAGAAAATAATAAGCATGCAAAATAATAGTGGTTTGTGTGTGTATAGTAGAAAGCCAGACAACATGATTTTTATGACAGTGTGAAACAACATACTGAGTATGATACTTCCTATTGACTGCTCTAAGGCCTGAAGAGAACATGCTGCAAACACACATGAAACCTCACAGTTCACCGTAAACATCAATGGCCCAATGTTAATTGTATTTTCACTTCATCTTCTCCCCTTAGATTTTTGGGCAGTCCATAACCTTAACGAAATAGGGCTAGGAGATGTGTTAACTAACTTTGGTTTTCATATACACATGAATGCACACTGAGAATTTTGATGCCTATGCAGAAATTGGACTGGAAGAGTTGTCAGCTTCTTTTGGGAGTGAATAAGAGAAGTGTATGTCTCCTACATGCACAGTTTTATATTTATATATGTATGTAGATATATGTACATGTAAATGTACAAGTATGCATGAATTGTTTTATGCAAATTTATGATTGTATGCATGTCTCTGTAAAGTGTATGTTCATGGGCATGTATAACCCATCAAACTCATGGTTACAACATTGATAGATTTTAGTGATGGAATGAAAAAGATCATTTGAGGTACGGCAGAACTTAGAAGCAGTCAAAGTACGAGATTTTTTTTATGCACGAATGATTTATTAAGAGAATACATCAAGATGAACATGATCCAGAGGAGGAGGAGGTGGGGGTTTACATCATCATCAGTGTGTGGAAGTGGTTATGTATGTATTACTATGATTTTATATAATATATACGTTAAATCTAAGCTCATAACAGAAGAATCCAATCTCCTATAATTTTCTAACAATTTAATTTTCTATTGAATGACTAGGAAACAAATAGAGGCATGATGTCATCCCAATAAAATGAAGATGAGATCATCTACATTGTGTATCATTAGGTGTAAACTAAGCATCCAATAATTAAAAAGTCTAAGAAAGAGATCCTTTCTTCTCCTCACCCCCCACCCCCAACGTGGAAGCGGTTAAAGTAGGAGATTTAGTATGAGCGTAGATGCATACATTTCATTAAGATAATAGATCAAGATGAAATGGATGATAGAGGCATTCCCTCCCTCCCTCCCTCCCTCCCATATATACACACGCACACACATATATACAGATTTGTATATATGTACATATATGCACATAAATTTATATATAAAATATAGAGCTAGCTAGCTAGGTAAATATGTTTATATGGTAAGTAGATAAAGATGTAACATATATCAGTGCATTTCTGGAGAAAGGAGGGCAAAAACCTTGATTTTTTTGTTGCGCACTTTCATGTTGCAAGGCTAACGATGTTGATAATGAGACATGGAGATTGGAAAGAGACAGCAGTTCTCGTGCGCGACGGACATGAGACCTTATAGATCTATCATCATACAAAGCTGTGCAACCATTTATAAAAGAAAATTACTGATCAAGTGCGAAGTACAAAATAAAATCAAGGCATAAGAAAAACAGATTATTAGGTTGATGTACCAGCAACCATCTCTAAGGAGCAGCCACCAATAGTAATGTCTGCCACTTCTGAAATTTCATTGTAATCCCCCAGATGGTGAACTGAGCCATCTTTAGCATGTAGTATTAAGTTATAGCATGTAAAGAAGCAGGTCTCTGGAGCATCAAGAAGAAACTGTCTGATATCCATTACAGAATCTCCTGGACTCAGCTGTTGATAATAAAAACTAGAGCTTAGTGAGCCACTAAAACAGGAGGCAAAGAAAGGCTCCAAAGAACAAAGTTATAGTTTTAGAACTAGTTTTACCTCAGCTACAATATTTCGTAAAAAAACAAGAGAATTCTTCTCTTACAAGTTATTTTCCTTGTCAACAATCCATGTTGGATTTACGTTTGTCGATACCAAATGTTTGCAAGTGTTTTGTCAAGTCATACTAGATAATCAAGTTCTCTGCAGTCAACCTGCCAGACTAAGGCAACTAACCATTGGGCAAAACACTTGAAGCCTATGAAAATCCAAAGCAAAAGGCACTACTCAAATAGTGTGAGTCTTCCATTTGTGTGTGTCTCTTGCTTCCTTTAATGCTCTTATTTTTTTATATTTTGTTTCCCCGTTCCCCAAGCAATCCAATAGTTTCTATACTTCTTAAAAGATGTGACATCCTGTTTTATCTCTTTTATTTCCATGACTAGAACAATGTTTCTTTTAACAGTAATCAATTTTACATATTACAGAGAGAACTAACCAGCAAATATTTTAGAGAGATAAATAAGGAAAACAGAGATTAGTAATAAGTACGAATAAAGGACTAATTGCATGTGTGTTTGTTAAGATGGCATGAAAGAATAAAGAAGCAAACATATAGAGGGGATATTGGGTATGAGCAGTCACTTCATCTACCAAAATGAGCTACCAAGGTCCATCTGCTCCAATTTGACTGCTAGGATGGTTCTCACCACTAGTCTATCACTTGGAAGCTTGTTTACGAGTTTCCACCTCACAACCACCAATTCCATAGATATCCATGTGTACGCACAATTACTTGCATGTTGATGCGAACTTGCACGGTAGCAAGTGTGTGAGACGCAAGAGATGGAGAAATAATTGACCATGAGTAGTTTTCAAGTAATATATATCAGCACAAATATTCATTGTATCAAATTTACGGTTAATGGACCTATTTCCAGGTAGCATATACTAGCACAAATACTCATTTCATCGAATTCGTGGTTAATGGACCCAGCTAACCCTATGAAAATGTGGGTTCAACTTATTAATAACAATTTATTCAACCAAAAAACACACTCAAGCAGTAGCACTCAATAATTAAATCCAGCTACCTGTAACTCTAGCTTTTCTCCAGACTGGGACTTGACAGGGATGGTGTAAAGGCGAAGTTCACCTGTGCCAACAAAGCAATAGCATTGATAAATCCCTTCATGGCGGACAAGAAAGTGACACAGAACCATTCTTGAACCGGAAAAGAAATAAGCAAAGGATGGCTTGCAACAAGTCCGTCAAAAGTAAGCATTATTAGATCCGGAATAGAAAGGACAAATTTTCAAAACCAACCTCTTTACACATTTAATCCCAAAAAAGACCCATTTTGAAGTTATTTGCAAAAACCGACCTGGTTTCAGCCTTAGCACTGAAACCAGGTCGGTTTTTTTGAAAAGGAGTCCGAAACTTCACGGGAGTTGAAGTCCCGTGAAGTTTAGCAACTGCTAAACTTCACCTCCTAAACTTCACGGGAGTTGAACTCCCGTAAAGTTTAGCAATGAACTCCCGTGAAGTTTAGCAATGAACTCCCGTGAAGTTTAGGAAGTTTTTTTTTCAAAAACCGACCAGTTTTCAACGCCAAGGCTGAAACCAGGTCGGTTTTTGAAAATATTGTTGAAGGGGTCTTTTTTTGGATTAAATGTGGAAAGATGTTGGTTTTGAAAATTTGTCCGGAATAGAAAAGAAGATTACGCGATAAGAAACAATTAACATCCTTTTCATAAATATATAAGCCAGAGCTCTGCAGTAGAAATCATGGAAGGATGACCCAACAAAAAAAAAATACAGGAACCAAAAAAGCACTTCCACATGCATCGCGAGTTTAAGCTTCAAGACACGCATAAGCCCATATGCATCAAATTATGAAGCCGACAAAGTCAGCTCCGGTGAACAAGTCAATATATTTACCTCCGGCTTTCTTGGATGACGCCGCCACAGAGTCCCCAGCATCTTCCTTCCCGTCCTCTACCTCGTTCTCAACTGTCCCATTAGCCGTAGGATTGTTGGAGTCCCCAACTTCACTAGCTCCACCGTTAGTAGCTTCACCATTAGGATCTAGAGGCTTCACATTCTGTTCGGGTGGATTTGAATTTGATGTTTTTCCTTTTATCTTTGACTTGTTAGATTTCCCAGCCATCTGTAGGTCATTGATATCAGTAAGAACGAGCAAAAACTACGGTATTAAAAGCAAACTCGCTTGCTTCGATCATGCATATAAGGGAAACAAAAGGGAAGAGATTGTCTGCTAGCATCTCGTGAACAGTTCTCCTAATGATCTCAAATAAAACTCAATTTTTCAGGGTAAAAAAAAATGCTAGATTTTGTTTAAAAGAGACGGCTTTTTCATTATTAGTATTGCTTAATCAAGGAAAATGGCATATGAAGTACCTGATCAATTTCTACAAATAACCTGGTGCTTCCTCCAAAATAATCTACTTTACACTAATTTCGAAGCGAAAGAACACGTGCAAACAAAAAAAAAAGCCAATCCGTTACCCAACAGAGTTATCAAAAACAAAACGAAAAAGAAAAAAATTATGACATTGAAGAGCAAAGGCGAGACCTTTTAGAGAGAGAAAGTGTTGGTCGAGGTTGAAGAAGTAGAGTACTGCAAAAATGGCGGCGGCGGCGGGGGCGGCGGCAGAGAGATTGATTGATTGGAGAAGCCCTCGTCGCTTTGGGAAGCGAAATTGAAAAGGGGCTTTCTTCGCTCTAATAATATCTCCGTAAAAATATGATTTTTAGCTTGGTTGGTATAAGTTCTCTGGGGGTATAGTTGGAATAACACAAAAGAGAGGCAAATTGGGTTTGCGGCTAATGATGAGGTTTTGCTAGGGTTTTGGCCTTGGGATAATTTTAGCTATGGGATTAAAAAAAAGACCTATTTTGCTAAATAATTAGCAAAACCTACCGTTTTGCTAATCATTTAGCAAAACCGATGTCAGTTTTGCTAAATTGGGTCTTCGAACACATACGAGACTACTAGTCCCGTATATAACAAAACTCATTGTGGCTTAGGTTTAGTGGTTAATTAGTGGCCCTAAACATACGGGACTAGTAAACCCGTGGGTTTTCGAAGACCCAATTTAGCAAAACCGACATCTTTTTGGCCAACGGGCCAAAAGATGTCGGTTTTGCTAAATAATTAGCAAAACGGTCGGTTTTGCTAATTATTTAGCAATATAAGTCTTTTTTTAAAGAAATCCCCTTTTAGCTATTTCTTGAGGGTATTGTGGGGATTTGAGTAATCGAAATCACTAAATTTTAGTGGTTTGCACTTATTTCTTATTAATGAGTACTTACCCTCTCCTATCGAAAGCATAAATTAATGTCAAAGCTTATATGTTAAGCTTTTGTCCTGCGAATATAGTTCAAATTAGTTAAGGTTATACTCTTTCAAATTGCATCCAACATGCTAATAATTGCTGAATTTGGGAAAGTAGAATTTTACACATAATTGTGTATAGTTATAAGATTCTATTCTGCTGCTCCTACTCTTAGTCACAATCTCGTAAGATCATACTTTTTGGATGTCTTTAAATGTGTGGAAACAATGGAATCTTGTTATAAAAATACATGAGCAAGGAATTTTTTTTTTTTAAATTCATGTCATACTCAATATCATTTTTCATGTGTCTCCGGATTCTATACATATGGAGGAAGCATTTCATGTCCAGTTACAAATTCGTATTTGTTAGGTTCAAAATTCATAAAGGATTGCAAGGAAACTTTCTTGACCATTAAGAAGTCTACACATGTAATTCATCTCAATCTTCACAATAAGGGGGTGTTAGTTTCTTTTTTTTTTTTTTTTGGATATAGGGTGGATTACAAATTCTAGGATGAAAAAGTAGAATTTTGTAAGTTTATGGATTCCATAACCTTTGTTTGATACAAAATAAATTTTGGGATATTGAATACCAAATAATACAAAACTAATATACTATAGTATTTGTGAATTCCCCTCTTTGAGAAAGGATTTGGGCTAGATTTCAAATTCTAAAATTTGTAATGCTATAATTTGAGTTTGAGACAAACAAAATACAAATAATAAGATTACATATCCCGAAATATTGATGTAGCAAACAGCATTTTATAAATCTCAACCCATGTTAAAAAAAAACCCTATGGATTTCAAATCCCATGATGAAATCCATATCATAAAATCATAGGATTTGAGTTTGAAACAAACAAAATACAAGGAAACTTTTTTGACCAACAAGAAGTCTACACATATAATCCATTGTAGTCATCGAAACATTGACGCACGTCTTCCTCTTCATCACTCCAATAAAAATAATAGAATGAAAGTAATAAAAAAGAAACTCTTTCATCAAGCCAGCGGATTCGTCGAGATGCCCAATTTCCCATCGTCCTCCACAATCGGAAGATGAATCAACAAATTTTAATGGGTTTCAACAAATGGGATTTTGGGGGTACTAGGGACGAGGGTGCTACAACAAATTTTAATGAGTTTCTAACAATTACAAAAAAACTTTTATTTCTTTACATCATCAAAGAATCTCATTTTATTGTTTTCTAACTTCAGTGCGGTTGATCGAGTATATGCCTACAAACTAAGGAGTGCTAATCTATTCCTCTATAATGATGGGAGTGCTCAAGATTCGTTATTCATGCTGCAGAAATACTACATCATTGTTACTATAGCACAGACGTTTAATAAATTATTGTAGAATTGTTGCTGTAGCACAAGCGGGGAACTGAAGCGTTTAAAATATTACTGTAGCATTATTACTGTAGTGTTTTAGAAATGTTACTGGGACACTTACAGAAAACTGTATTTGTGCACACTAGTTGCATATAAGCTAAAAATTAATGTTTGAAAACAACATTTTCTTGAAAAAGAAATTACTCTTTTTCACGTTTTTTATTTTAAGTTTTTAACATGTCTTTTTTTTTACATCTTTTGTTTTTATACCTTCATACTCAAGAAGAAGAAGTTTCTTTGCGCGGCATTGATCCTCTTCGCCGCTAAAATTGTTTCTTTGTATAATAATTAGACTATATTTTTATCTTGGGGTTTGCTCCAACATCTCAAATTTGTTTTTTCTTTTTCCTTAACTGACATCCCTGGCTTGAAAGTAGGGTGGTAAACGATCGAATCGAATCAAATACTAAGATGTTTGTATTTGTATTTGTTTAAAATTATCGAATTCGAATGTGGACTCTAAAATTCATATATCTAGTTTTTCGAATTCGAACTCGAATACTTGGTATTTGATAAATATTCATGAATATTCACGAATACTTATTGAATATCAAAGTATATTTATTCCGCTAAAGAATTTGATTTTCAAATAGTATTTGAATTCATAAATAAAATTTATTCCTTTATAATATATGATGTATATATATTTAAATCAAAATTTTAATTAGAAAACAGATTTAAGATTATTTAAGTCTTAAAATCAGGATATAAAGCTCAAGTAGAAATGATATGTAGGTTAAAAATATGACATCATATGTGCAATATATACAAGTAATATGATGTGATCAAATTTTAAACGAATATTTAATAGACAAACGAATCGAATATACATCTGGTTAAATTCTATTTGTTAGTAAACTCGAATACTAAAAAATATTTGTTTAGTGGTAAATGAACTACCGAATCGAATATGACCGAATACTTTTTCGAACAAGTATCGAACTATTTGTTAATTATTTGGTTCATTTCCACCCCTACTTGAAAGAAATGTGTTAGAAAATAGTATGAAAAAAGGGATGATTACTTTTCTCATATGAAAGGAGTTAATCTTGACTGTGGATTCTGTGTGCGAAGCTCGCATTTTATACGTGTGGTAATATTTTCATAGGTGATTAAAGAGTTTTTACAGATTCCCTTAAAAAAATTCATATCTTTGAACCAATCATTCGATTCATGGAAATTGCTCCTCCAATTCGTGTAAGTCGTTTCAAATTAATCCCTCTAATTACTACTTAACTCTTGATTAGGGAGAGACTGATTCAAAAATTAGGAAATTGATAATCTTCACAAAAAAAAACTGTAGAAATTGTAAGTACAGCTGCTCATGGCAAGGCATCAACCAATAAACAATGGCACGAGCAGATAATCCATCCACCAAGGACCAAATATGATATGCTCTAGCAACATAATTCACAATTATTCAGAACAAAACCATTGTTTTTAACAACAATTCATGTACAACTTCTTTCCTTGAATCAAAGAATGACGCATACCAAATTAACCCATGGCTTCATCCAGTGAACACATTGATTTCACAGCTCCTGCTTTCTTTACGTCTGAAGGAGCGGAGATACAACGCTATATAGTTCATGCTACAGACACACAGAAACAACAATGAGGAATAGCAAGCACGAGGAAATTATACCGATGATTTGTCATAGAAACGGCTCCTTCCACTCTAATCTGTTAAGTGAATCGATGATTGCCTTGCGAAATGCATCGTTATGAAGGAGAAAGGATGAGACATGCCCACCGGTTACCCATCTCACCTCCGAGCCTGGCCATGCTCGCTGGAGTTCAATGACAGAGTGTTTAGGTATATAGCCATCATCCTGAGGACAATAAGGATTAGTACCGAGAAGATCACAAACAAGGAATCTCAAACAAGGAATCTCAAAAAGATGGGATTGATTGCAGAAACACACCCTATGCTATGATGGTGCAATCCCATATATTCAATAAGCATTTTTAAGCACGGCGTCACTTTTTTATGCTATTATTTGCTTCTAGTTTAGTCCAGTAAAATAAGACATTATTTTTTGCCCTCTAAGTTGGTCCTTCTCTTCCTGTCCTTTTTCCTGGCAAATTCAGGTAAGCCATATTACGTGATTTCCCTGTGACGTCTCAACCTAATTTGGAAAATAATATGTCGCAGGCGTGTGCCCTACATCTCAGCCTAGTTTGGAAAATAATATGTC